TGCGTTATCTTTTAAGTAGAAAATGCAAAACGTACCTGTTGGCCTGGAAGGTACAGAAAAATTAATAGAACCTAAAAACACAGAGGAATCAATATCTCCGACAATCAATTTGTGAGATAACAAAGGCATGTTAATAAGGATAAGTCTACTGGAGTACGATGGTCAAAGCAGATTAGGATCCCAGTTAAGTTAAATATTTTCCTTAAAAGCGAAACTATTGACACCAACTTTGATAATGTGTACTTGTTTTAAAGAAAGTGAAAACACCTTCGAGCTTAGGAGCTTTACGACTAATCTAATCTAATCTACATGCATGTATTCAGTGTACTTTAAATGACTTCGAAATCCTTTTTTTGCTGCATTGGACATTGCCTGAATCAACAGATGTTTCAGGTGAGATGGAACAAAAACTTTGATTCATGCCCGTACTTTTATTGTACACCCACATGTGACACTCACTGCCAGTGCACTTTGAAGGACACTCACGTCCTGGCTGCCCGAAAGGGTTGCTACCGTTTCTCCCGTTATTGCCGTGAGTAGAGTGGAATTCACCCTCATATGCATGCGCGCGCGCCTCGTCGTCGAAGCTATTGAATACGCATCAGATATCAATACCCATACACACGCACTCGCCACACACAGGACCTCTCTATACTTATATACTATATATGTATGTACATACATATATATACATATATATACGTATGTGCCTACGTATGTGCGAGCTTCGATTTCGGTGCCTCGTCTTTGTGCCAACCAATGGCATGGCTGCGATGTTGCAGCTAGCTGATTGGACAATTTTAGTACAGCACCCAAGGCCATAAGCAACGGTATAAATAACGAAGAAGTAGATGTGGAGGAAGAGCTGGAGAAAGCGGACGAAGAAGAGGAGGAGGAGGAAAAAGTCAACTAAAAATGTTGCCTGATTTCTTTTTGGCTTGGGAGCGCGTAGAGTAAAAGTGAAAAATTACATAATATGCGCTGAAAAATGTGCGTACATTTTTTTCGGGCTGACCATTTTATTTGTATGTGTGTGTGTGTGTGTGTGTGTGTTTGTGTGTCAGACTCGCTTTTTGTTTTATGCAAAACTTTTGCGTTTTACAATTCATTGCATATTCAATTTCAGTTGGTCTGTCGGTCCGGCTCAGTCCGGTCCGGTCCGGTCCAGTCCGTCACTCTGATGTTGGCGACGCCACAAGGACCAACACAAACAGCAAAGGTCCCTGGCATATTAATAAGGATTTCATTAGTTTTATACGTTTGTTTTTCAGTTGCATGTATGTGTGTGTGCGTGTGTATTTTATTCCTTTTTTTTCTCAGCCACAAATGAAAACGGTCTACAACAAACATTTGCGCACACACACATACACAGTAATGGGTCGATACTAGGGTTGTAAAAAAACATCGAAATTTGAACATCGTCTAATGTTTATTACAGACATTTTTCCGCTCTAGTTCTTCATATTAAATGTATGCTTAATAGTGGGATAAGATTGTAATCACACTCTTTTAAAAGGAACAAAGGAATTGAAATCGGCTAAGAATTTTGATCTTATTAATTATAATTATATACACAGATAGTTTAGATAAATACTTATTGAAGCTGACGTTGTTTTAGAGCGGCTTTTCCAAATGGAAATTTTTGTATATGTGTATGCTTAGTTTTAGCTTGAAAGCTTCAGTTATCATTTAAGTCCTGTATCGCTCCCACTTGCCGATATGGTTTGCAAGTTTATGGAATCGCTGATAAATCACACCTGCAGAAAATCCGAATCCTGCAAGCGAAAACCCTTCGCCTACCAACAGGTGCTCCCTGGTATATGAAAACGGCACATATAGAAAAAGATCTAAAGATCTATAGAAAAAGAGCTGATCTTGCCAATAGATTTATATAAAGTATAAATAATGAAATAAGACTACACTCCTATTTGTATTTTTCTATAAGTTTCATTTCAGTTGTTGTACATAATAACAGTATAATTAAGGTTTTACATTTATAAAGTTATCATTTGTTGTATCAATGCCAACATACTCGTAGCCAGCGTAGTCGTTGTATTTTAAATAGAGGGATTCCCTAAAAAATTACCCATTACCTGTCTGTATATAGCTGCTAGTCCTAGCTAATGTGATATTTGTACAGGGTGCGCCATCTTTTATGTCGGTATGTAAATATTGAATAACTTTGTCATTTGTGAACCGATTGGCTTGAGTAGACCAGTGTTGAAAACCTCAGTTCAAGAAATTGTACAGAACCAAATTAAATAAAAATATCTCATACTTGAAAATCGGTTGTTTATTTTTAAAGATATTCAATGTTACATACCGACATAAAAGATGGCGCACCCTGTATTAGCCTGGATACTTAAGTTGCTCCGATGAGCAACTTGACGAGCCTTCGTAAATTATTGGACTATCAAACAGGTAGCTAATGGTACTGAGAAAGAAAATCTACCAATATATATCGTTATATAGAAAGTAGTGCAATTATCGTAGCCTTCCCATTCCTTGTGGAGCTTTATAATTATATATGTATGTATGTATATGTACTTGAATCAATCTACTTCTTCTGCTAATTCAACACCAACATCGCTGCTTTTTCACTGTCTGCCAAAGCCAAGCATAGGCAATTCCATTATGCTATTCTATATCTTAGGCCTTGTTTGCCAGGACTGCACCCTACCCCGCCCAGCTCTACCTCTCTCTCTCCTTATCTCTATCTCTCACTCTCTTTCTGTTCACGTTGTGCGCCCTGCACTGTGTGGAAAAAGCTTTTTGTCTCTATTAAATTAATCGACACTCATTTTTCTAACTTAACAGAACGCAAAATGCAAAAACAAAAAACAAAAAAAAAGTATAAACGATAAAACATTTGCTGCCGCTTACGTCTTACAACAACCCCCCTCACACTTGTACTTTTTGTATTATTTTTTTTTTGTTTTTTATTTTTTTAAGTAGCACTATTTTTTAAGGATTCTGTTTGGGCCGCCTTCTATCTCCCACTCCGCTCGCCTGCTCTAAAACAATTTAATTTTTTTTGGTTTTGTACGTTTTTCATGCTTATCAAACATAAAACAAACGTACGCATGAGGGTTGACCCTCGACCGCCCCCAACCCTACACCCATACAGCCATACAACCATCGTCAACGCACGACCGGTTGCTTGTGGCATTTATGTTTCATTTGGCATTTTTGATGCGTTTTGCTTTTACATTTCGGTCTCTTACTTTTGCTTTGGTTTATATATTTTGGAAGCGACGCATTTAATGTGACATTTCAATCAATCAGGCGGTTCTGCGACTGGGAGGCTGGGAGGGTTGGCTGCGGTTCTTAAATGGAAGATTAATTTGCATTAGCCAAGCGAAACTTTTTTTCTAGGCTTCACATTACACTTTCGCCACCTCCAGCACAGCTCTTTGATAAACCATAGCCTCGGTCTCATAATCATGTTTAGGTTGGTTTTTTTTTTTTTTGAAAACAATGGTTACCGTTTCCGCCAATGCCAAAAGTCGCGTAAATTGCTCTGCGAATCAGTGAAATCATAAAGAAAGCTGCATAAATAAACACATCAACACAAAGGCAAAAGTTTGAGCAGCACTTGCTAAAGACAAACTCGCAGCCAACTCAAAAGAACTCTACAAAGGATGGGGGGAAGGCCCCAACCCTTCAACATACGCGTACATGAGAGTGTGTGCTCGGCTCTTGTCTAAGATGCCGGCAATGCATGCTGGAGAAGTCGAAAAACAAAAAGGCGTTTTTTAATTGCCTCAGATAACAAACGCACACACGCACACACTCACACACACATTCATAACTTGTGGCAAACTTATGTAGGCTCCCACAGCCCCCTCTCCTTCCTCATCGCAGTCAAATAGAGAAAATAATAAAAATGGTGGAAAGGCAAGCGGCAATTTTACAATTCAGCGCACATTTTGATGAGCTTCATAATTTTTTGCGGCTCATTGAAGCTCACTCGCATTTTAATGTAACTTTCTGTAGTCGACTTCTCCTTTCATCTGAAGGCCTAGACGACTCCACTGCTCACCCACAGTGCCTTATTACTTGTATACTTGTATATGGATAAGTCTCTGGTAAACTGTCTTCAAAGTACTAGTCCTAGAATTTTTAAAAAGTGATCACTCAATGAGAAATCTGTTAGTAAATATTGATTGCTCTTCATAACCATACTACTTATAAGACACAAACGCTTCCTAAAACGTTGTCAGAAACGTATGTAGAATTTAAAGAGAATCGTTTTAGCAGAAAAATAATCTTATTTAAGAAGAATTATCCGCAGAGATTATTTGCAAGTATTCGCTTCTTATTGATTCTGATAATGTCTAACAAATAGGCAACACACATTCTCCATAGGACTTCCCTGTTTTTGATTCCTGATTTGCAATTCATGCATAGCTTTCTATATAAAAGCATCGCTCACCATTAAGTAGCCTTCACCAAAATTGTGTTTGCAAAATTAAAGAGATTCCTTTTGTCGATCCAACAGATCACAAAATATATACATTTAGCTATAACTAAAAAAGTTCTACATCATATTTCCCAACTTGTCGTTGCCATACTCTGAAAGGAAATTTATTGAAAGCAATTGCCTTTTGGGTCTATTTTCAGCGACTTTGGTAATGAAACGTCAAGTCACTTTTATTTGTTATTATTATTTTCTAGTGCTACTAGAAAATGTGATATTAAAAAAAATTGTGTTCTATTTATCGGTTCAGATACCAAGTGACAGCATTCGATCCAGACTTTGAAGAGCAATCATGGCTTCAATGTTCGTTACTTTTAAGCCAAAAATGGAGCAATGCCATGTAGCAGCCGCTCTAGCCTCACCCCAACAAAGAAAACAAATCTCAACGCTACAGAAAAAGATAGGGTGGAATATTATTGTAACATATTTGACAATATATGACAATATTAAATAGATATAGCCCTTATTAATCAGACCATTAATGTAAAGTCTAGAAAAATCAAAGTCATGCTAAAGAAAATACAGCCACATATATTTTATTGAAAGAATCACGCCAAAATGGTATTTACGAAATAATTAGGATACTATTCACAGGATCGGCACACGAACGCACAGACAGCTACAGTTTGTTTCTCTTACACACATTCTCTCGCACTGCTGTTGTTTGTTGCCTTCTTCCTTTCGTCTTAGAAGCACTTCCGGTGCACAATAGTGGGGCCAAATTCTTCGTACTCGGACATCGCCACCCACATCTGCTCGAACGAAGTCAAGGAAGCGAGTATGGAACCACCTAACCAAACGGCATTCTGACGCTCGGGTGGTACTAGGATTTTTAAGCGGATACTGACCGGCACCATGTCGCTCATCTCCTTGCGCATGCGCTCAGTCATGCCCGGAAACAAGGTGGTCCCACCGGCCAGTACCAGATTGTTATACAACTCTTTTCGTATGTCCACATCACACTTAAGTATCGCGGTCTGCACACAACTAGACACGCCCCCCTCTTCGAAGCCGAGCATGGTGGGCTGGAACAGGGGCTCGGCACAACGGAAACGCTCGCTCTCCAGCTTCACGATGCGCCCATCCGGCAGCATGTACTCCCGCGCCAGACTCTCTTTAGCCAGAGAGGCTTTCTGTAGCTCCTTTATAAAGCTCTGAGCGACGTAGCCGTGTCGTTCCTTAATGTCTCGCACAATCTCGCGCTCCGCCGATGTGGTAAACGGATAGCCAGCCTCGCCCAATAGCTTCTGCATGTACTCCGTAAGGTCGCAGCCGGCAACCTTGAAACGCTGGATGGCATGGGGCAAGGCGTAGCCCTCGTAGATGGGCACAGCGTGCGACACTCCGTCGCCCATGTCTAGTACCAGGCCAGTGGTACGACCGGAGGCATATAGTGCCAGCACAGCCTGAATAGCAACATACAAGGCTGGCGTCTGAAACTGCTCGAACATTACTTCGAGCATCTTTTCGCGATGGGCGCGTGGATTTTGAGGAGCTTCAGTGAGGAGCACGGGATGGTCGGCAGGTGCAACACCCAACTGTTGTTGAAAACAATCGCTCCAGATTTCTACCATATCATCCCAATTGCTTACAATCCCATGCTCAATGGGATGCTTGAGCGTGAGAATGCCCCGACGACCTTGGGCCTCGCTACCCACATAAATGTCTTTGTGGGCCAAAGTCATGCTGCTCGGTGGCAGCAGCAATGGACGCGCTTGAGGACGCGGCCTTCCAACTACGGCAGGAAAACTAGAACGTGGAGTATTTTCGCCAGCAAATCCGGCCTTGCACATACCGGAACCGTTGTCGATCACAATGGGTGCACCGTAGTCGCTCATACTTGTATTGCTTGATATTTATTAAAAGTTTTGGTTTTCAAAATGGAGCTTATGTGCAGTTGAAAAGGAATTATCGCAAGTTAAGACTTCTTACTTATTGCTCCCTCAACCAATGGTCCTCACTCTTCAATATACATACCTGTTTCTTCGCCTGAAATTTTGAAGCACACAAATATATTTTTAGGTTGAAAAAAGCTTTAAATGCCCACAAAAAATGATGTTAAGTACACTTCTAATTACGGCGTTATTTGCAAATCAAGCTTAAGTTTCGAACCGTTGACGTAACTTGGTTTTGGCTCTAGAAACGAAGTGGAGGAATGGACATTATTTCTTCAAACAATGGTCTTCGCTCCTCCACGTACCCCTTTCTATTCCTGTATCCTGTTTCGTATTGCTGAATTTTTAAAACACACAAATATATTTATTTTTATTTTTTTTACTCTTTTCAAAGCCAAAATTTGTACAACACACTCACTACAAAGGAAAACGTAAGACTGACGTATACATGAAAGCCATAATGATAACCAATTAGGTTATTGCTACTGTGACTATCAAGAAGTCTTCCAACAACCCAAGCAAGTTCCTTAACCTTAAGGTGAAGTTTCGATATTGAATAAAAGTGTATCTTCAAAGGAAATTGAAAGTCCCATCTTCAGATATTTTTAATAGGACCATTGGCTTAAATTGATGTATTTTTATACCCTGTACCCGTAGGGTAAAAAGCGTATATTAGGTTTGTGCAAAGTATGTAACATGCAGAAGGAAGCATCTCCGACCCCATAAAGTATATATATTCTGAATCAGCATGACGAGAGAAATCGATCTAGACATGTCCGTCCGTCCGTCCGTCCGTCCGTCTGTCCGTCTGGATGAACGCGAGGATCTCAGAAACTATAAAAGCTAGAATAACCAAAGTTGGCATCCAGATTCTCCTAGGTCCGAGAAAGGACGAGTTTATTTTATTTTTTGGAATTTTCCCCCCCTTCCCCCGCTACAGAATTTCGTCAATCCACATTTCAAATGCTACCTGTACCAAACTTTGCACACATAATTTATATATAATTGTCTACTGTTGTTCAAAATTTTATTCAATTCGGTTAATTCTAAGAAAAGTTATTAGCGAAACAAATTCTCGCCAGTACAACCTCCCCAAACTGCAGCAACAAGTTCGCTCTTCTTCTTCCTCTTTTTGCTGCTGCTATGGGCGCATATAACTCAGTGACGGAAGTTTACCTGGGTACAGGGTATTACACTGTCGGGCTTGCTCGACTGTAGCGTTCTCTCTTGTTTTTTTTAATTACTTGCATACAAATTTTGAATATTAAATCATTGACATTAAGTCATTGGCCTTAAATTATTGACAGAGTGACTTTTTATTTCCTTTAAAATCATCACCAATCATCCCAAAATTCACTATTTTGTGAATATCAGTCAAATTCTTGCTGCATTCAGATGTTTAAAAATAACTTCTTTTTTTTTTGATATTAGCAGAGTGTTTTTATTTAAAACTGTCCATCCAATCTTTAAATTGGTAAAATAAGCTTGACAATTTCAAAAGTTTGGAACGCTTCAGGATTTTGGAAATAACTGCCAGAGGTCCATAAACGATAATGATAAAAGCTGGTGACATAAAAGTAAACAATTCTTTTTGTAAAGCTCCAAAGCTAATAAAATCGTTAGCAAGCAAAGTATTACTATACTGATACTATAGTCTTGGGTGCTGCTGTTACAAAAGGTATACAAATTTGTATTTTTATGAACTAGAATTTCCTCGAAGCATTCTAATAGTAGCGCATCAAAACGTTCGAACTGGCCTCTTTTTTGGTTGCCCAATCCCTTTCTCTCACTCTGTTTCAACACCCACTCACACTTTATTCTTATTTCGTGCGCTTTTTACTCTCCACCTCAAGTCATCTCACATACATACAGTACATACAAGTAGTATATGTGTATATGGCACACAATTATCAAAGTCCTATCTATGCATCAGTCAGCGTCGTCTTTGAAATACCGACACATGCCGCCCACGCTCCCCGGAAATTGTTCCGTGTGGGTTGTCGTCGTGTTTACACAATTACAATTCTGAGTACAGTACACACATATATTCGTACATTTTACGCTACATAAACGAGATTAGTGCGCCGATTTTGTGCCGCCCACATCGGCCCAACTTCTTTTGACACAATGCCACCCGACAATCGTCTTTTCTGGCCTAGGCACAAAAAAGTTTACTAAGATATGAGCTAACTCTTTGACTTGCCTTGAGGATGGGGGCGTAGCAATTGCCCAACTTTTGTTTTTTTTTTCGCTTCCTCTTTTCTCGACTTGCCTTGAACTTTTTTTTGTGTCTTCCTACATACAGATGTACTCGTATGTATATAACGAGGATACATGTGGGTGTAGGTGTGTGTGTGTGTGGATGTGCTTTCATTGTTAACAAGCGAAAATTGTGCGCTTCTTTGTTACACTCGAAAATTTATATAGACATGAGGCAACAACAACAACAGCAATCTGAACATGTAAGCATAGGCGTGCATATCTATTTTTTATGACTTCTTGTTGATCTTTTGAAAAGGCAACGCAACGGGCGCAACTCACAACAGTTGTTTATGGCTTTTTTTGGCCATTGTCTATATCAGCAGTTAATATTAAACGTATAGGATGCTGGTTATGAAGAACAACAAATGTCAAATGCTTTCCAAGATATGGAAGACAGTGCAACGGAGCAAAGAGCGTTAGATTTCAAAATTAATAGAATATTTTCAAGAGTGGTCGGTACTTCCCAGATATTTCGAAGTTTTAACTTAATCATTATATTTTCAGCTGATATTCGAAGATTGAAGAAGTGCACCTTCTTCTTAGTTGTAACCGATGCAATGCTGAATAAATAAGCGGAGTGGCTGTATTGCCAATAGCATCAGTTGTTTATTCTACAAGTATATTCTCAGAGTACACATAGAATATTTTTATATAAAAGATAGATGCCTCTGCTGGGAAATGAGAAATGAGCCTCAATACCTAAACCTTTAATGAGCTTTTGTAATATTTTGTGGCAGCAAAGAAAGATTTTGCCAAAGTTCACGTATACAAAATTTTCTTAACATAAAACTAATACTAAATATACTAAAAATACTGATACTAAATAAATTCTTCGGCAAAATTAAGATCCAAAAAAACAACACACAATGCAAGTTCTTATTTTGTATTCAACTTCCATATTTGCCTAACAGGAACATCTTTTCGTTTTTTGACCTGAGAAACAAAAATGGAAGAAAAATCATCTCTTATTGAAAATCATACTATGTATATTTTAAATTGGAGCAAGTTTCCCTTTGGCTGAATTTTCAATTTCGCTCGCACATCAACTATTATCTGGCACTATCTCTAGATGTTTTGCTATTGCCTTATTTTTAATATATTCTAGATTCTAGCTTATACCGATTCCTACTCCTCAATAAACCTTACCCGTGCAGAATCGGCGATTACTTAATAGAATCCAAAACAAGTACACACTTAGTTGTCATAATGCAGTTATGATAAGGGAATTGGCTGAGAAGGACGGCAATGTGAAGCAGCTGCTGCATCTTAAGCGAAATGCTGCCAACACTCTGCCAACTGCCGCAAGTTAGCGTGAATGGGAGGGGGGAGGAGGAAGGGGCGCGGGATTGAGGCATAACGGCAGCTCAAATCAAAATACCATTAAAGCGTGTGGCGCTGACGCAAATGCAAAAGTTGAAGTAAATATTGTCATTACTCAAGCTTAAAATTAAAATTACCTACCTACACACTTTACTTCACCTGAGACGAGCGGCTGCGCGAAAGAGTCCAACGTTGGCGGAGCAGGGTTGAGGAGGGGGAGGGGGAGGGGGATTGTGGGGTCTAGCACTTGGGCTGTAAAATGATAAACTGCATAAAGCAACGCAACGCAACAGACGAAAAATTTCGAATGCAAAAGTTTTTTGCACAAGTGTGTGGTGCCCCCAAATACCATCAACCCCACAAACGTTACGGCACCCCCCCCCCCTTAAATACCACCTCTCCCTACACTCTGTAGCAAAGAGCAAAGTCATTTTCATAACGACAACGACTATGGCGACTTCAGCAACTTGGGCTCTCGTTTTAAGGTGCTCTCCACTAGCAAACCTGATGAGCTGTAAGCTGAAGGCTGTATTCTGTAAGCGAACCACTCGAAACCACCCATTCGACCTCAACTTGCCACCCACTTCGTGTAAAATGTGCTACGTTAAGCACATCTGTTTTTTATTGCTTTTAATTTGCCATTAATAAAGCATTTCAACGCGGCATTTTGGAGCCAAATGCTAATTTATATATAGAGATAGATAGGATATAGTAATAATAATAATGCATACATACATACATACATACATACATACATACATACAAACTCGTATTTAGAAATCCAATTTTAATATGCCCGACAAACTCAAGCCGCCTCCACACTTACGCCGACTATGGGGCAGTACATTAACTCAAACTTTTGTGCACGGTCGTTTGTTGGGGTCGACTGCCCTCTGTTTATCGAGCCAGCGCCATAAGTCAATGAGTTTTTGGCATTTTTATGGCCGGCCATGGAATGTTTAAGAAATTAGCAACCGGCGTTGGGGCAAAAGTTGGACTGAACGGATTGCGAGGGTCTGCATTCAAGAATCTTTCTGTCAGCCACATGCCATACGAAGGAGGGAGAGTACTTGGAGCTACTTACTAATACTTAGGCCTATCTATACTCGGACTTTGGTTTGCGATAAGGCCACAGAATTCAGCAGGTAAACTACACAAAATAGAAATAGAAACATGCAAACAAAATATACTTATATAGAGTAGTTGCTTCAAAAGGGCTGAAAAAATTAAGCTCGTGCAGTAAAAAAGGACAACCAACAAAAACACAGAACCTATATTTTGAAAAAAAGTTTATTCTATTCCAAATAATCACCCTCCGTTTTAATACAACGTTTAATCGAGTGTTTTAGGCGATCCGCTGCCATGTCCTTCAGAATTGTGTTTAATACAAATGTTTTAATTAACTTCAACCTCCATATAAATAGCACTCTTTTTCATGGCCAAATTAGATTTTCTCGATTACCAAGTAGATAAGACGCACACAAAGTGATGATTAAAATGCAATTTTGTTGTCAAAAAATCAGCCGACTAATAATTTCAAGCGTTAAAATACTTTGGATACGAGTTCTTTGAATCCTGAATCTTTTCGAAATGTAATCGAACTAATTATTTGTCAAATTAATTCAGTTATTATACATGTATTGCAGTTCTTTTTATATATTCCTTGTGACTTTAAAAAAAATGAAAACAATTTATAAATAAAAGTGAAATATTGAAACGTTTTTTTAAACAAAATTGCTTAATACTTCAAATTATTGATTCGGCTGAAGATTTATAATTTGTAACCTTCACTTTCAATATCTG